ATACCCTTCACCCAGCTTCATATAATGTTAACATTTTATAGAATGTGATACAATAATTGGAATTAAGAAATTAACATTGGTACCATACTCAGACTTTATTTGGATCTCCCCAGTTTTCCTACAAATTTTCTTTCTTTTCCAGGGTCCAATCTGTGATACCACATTGAATCTAGTACATTAGTCTTCTCCAAGCTATGATTGTTTCTTGGTCTTTCCTTGTCTTTCACGATCTTACAGTTTATGAGTAGATAGAAGTTTCATAGAAGGTCTCTCAATTTGATCTCATGTTTTCTTATAACTAGACTAAATTTATAGGTTTGGGGAAAGAATGTCAGAGAGTAATGTTAGGCCATGAATGTTTATCCTTAATGTATAAGGATACGCTGTGGAGGAAATAAAAAGCCAGAAAATTGCTTCTTCCGGTCCCAAGAGACGGTAGGGAGAGAAGGGAGACAGAAGTAGGTCAAGTAGATAAGATGGTATCAGGGTTCTAGTCATCAATATCTCTTCCACATACACCTTTTAGGGGCTAATCTTCAGGCGAAGAGCAGTTTTGTAACATCTAGGTAAGTAAAGGGTGACCGGAAGCCATTGGGTTAGTGGCTCACTCCCAGATTTAGGCTCTAAGCAATGGTGTGTTGGTAAATGTTTAACAACTGGCCTCGGGGAGGTGGAGATGAGGGAGAATGGAGCCCTGATTTATAATGTTTGCTCATTTCCACGGTGCAAATACTCCTATGTTGGCTGATTTGAAGCTATCAACATGGTATCTCTGAACAGAGCTAGAGAAGCTGTGTGGTAGTACATTATTATATAGTATTTCTATCAAACACATATGTTAAACATAGGTTAATAGTCCAATGTAGTAAAATAAATAGGAGGTGATGATTTTGAGTATTAATTACCTTTGCTTTTAATATAACTTGTTTAAATATATGTTCTTATCATTTAATTTTTAATAATGGCCATGTTGAACAATTGGAGTGCAAAATTCCTGAAAAACTAACAATTGGCTAGGTTATGAGTTCCTTCCAGCACTCCACTGCTTCTAGGGGATTCTGACTATTTGGCTCAGCATCACATTACACGGGGCTCAGAAGCAATTGAACAGAGGCGGCAGCAGGTGGGTAGATGCATAGGACTTAGAAGGCATCCCTGCCAGGGCACCTGGGTAGCTCAGTTTGTTGAGCGTCTGACTCTTGATTTCAGCTTAGGTCATGATCTCGGGGTCATGAGACTGAGCCCCGAGTGGGGCTCCATGCTCAGTGGGAATTCTGCTGGAGATTCTCCTCTCCCTCTCCCTCTGCCCCTCCCCGCCCCAGGCTCGCTCGCGCGCGCTCTCTCTCCCAAATAAAGAAATATTTAAAAAAAAAACAAACCCCCCCCCCCAAAAAAACAGAAAGAAGGCATTCCTGCCTCCTAATGGCCTTTATGTGGGAAACAGGCGTCTCTGGAACTTCTTACTTCCCCAGTGAGACTACTCATATGTAGAGGAGCGGCCATCGAGGAGCGGAGAGAGAGGCCACAGGGATGGAACTTGGGTACTACGGGGAGTGTTCAGGGCTGTGGCAACACACATCATTCCTACAGATCAGGCGGGACCTAGTTGCATTTCAGTGGTCCCCATTCCAGAGAAAAAATGAATCCGAGGATCACTGAGTATCTAGAGGATGGTGCATGCTACAAGGGTCCCACAAGGATAAGGTAAGACCCCTACCACCTTGTATACCTGAATGCAATCTTGGGCAAGAGAAGGAATAGGGGTGTAAAGAATGTGAGAGAGACTGAGTCATCTAAACAGCCTTACTCAAAACGTGGTCCACGGGCCGGTGCCAGTCCACAAATTATTACTGGTCCGAAGTGAGCTAGATACAAGTGAGAATTGGTATTTAGAAATTTTCATCACAAACTGACATTGCCAGGACATCCTACCATGTGACCAGAGGACTTGTCTTGTTGAACAAGATACAGACCAGTGCAGATGCGTTGAGCTGGCACTGTGAGTGGCTTGTGCCACGAGCTGCACACTCGTCATACGCAGGAAGATCATGTATTTGATCCAAGATAGAACAGAAAGTCAACCAACTTGACAAGTATTCATCTAAGGCTTTTGAAACCATCACCTTTGGATGGGAATAACATGCTGAACAGCGTGAATCAGAGGTTCTAAAGTGTGTTCCTTGGACCAATAATACCAGCATCAACTGGGAACTCCTTAGAAATACAAATTCTAAGTTGCTACCAGATGTACTGAATCAGAAACCCTGGGGGTGGGCCCAACAATCTGTGTTTTAACATGCCCTCTAGGTGATTCTGCTGCATGTTTGAGTTTAAGAACCGCTAGTTAGAATGTTTAAAGTCAAGGAATTATGTTCAAGCTGGAGAAAAATGAAACACTATTCATTAAGTGCAGATTGTTTTTGCTAGAATGCAGAGCTGGTACCCATAATGATCAGACCAGGTAGAGAAGAAGAAAAAACTAAACTTGCTTTGCATTTCTGAGATGATATGCAAGTGAGTAAGGCCAAGATGCTAAAGTTGAATACTTTTAGTGGGTGATCCTCTTTTATCTTTCTCTGAAAGCTTACCCACAGTGCTGTGACTCCACATTTTCAAGCATAATTCATTTCCCAGACCCACATCAGCTTGGTTTTTTTGGTTTTTTTTTTTTTTTTTTTACCAAAACGGGGTCACAGTATAGAAACGGAAGAGTATTTCTCTAGCTTTACTCTCATCACGTAATTGCTGGATTTCTGGCTTTCCTACATTCCTACAACTACTACTATTAATAGCTTAGGAGGCCCCTCTTGGCTGTTTTGTGTCATCTGTCCTTTTCTCCCTCTGCTCTCAATTCCTGGTACCCCTAGTATATAACCTTCTCGATGCTTCTGCTCCTTCCCGGGCAGTGTTGATGCAGTTTCAGCTTAGAATCAGGCCAACCTGGACATTAGCTATATTACAGCCAAGAAATTCTCTCTGTTCCCCACCAGTGCTACTTTTTTTTTTTTTTTTTACTGGGGGGAAGCCACCCAGGGCTCACAGCATCTTCTAAATCAGTCTTTCTCAACCCATGTGCATGCAAATCACCTGGGGCTCTTGCTGTCATGCAGGTCTGATCCTGTCGGTTTAGGGTGGGCCTGAGGAGCTGCATTTCTAACAAGCTCCCAGGTGATACTGACGTTGTCAGTCTGTAAACAATATCTTGAGAAACAAGGTTTAGAGCAGTGAATTTTCTGCTTTCACAAGGTCTCCTCCCCAGGTCTTCAACACAGCTGAGGGTGCATAGTTGTAGGGTGACCAACTGCCCTGCTTTGACAGGGATGGTCCTGAACATCCTGAGTCCTGGGCAAACCCAGATAATTGGTCATCCCAGCAGTCCAAAACCACTCTGAACAGCCCTCATCCTTCTCCTCCCCACTCCCTCCCCACCTGACACTCGTATCTTGGGCTTCTAGACTCTCTCTTAAGATAACTGCTTTCCCTTGAGGCTCTTCATTTCTCTTCCACACAATGCCTTCTCCTTTGGCAGACCTGTCTCCACCAGCCCTAACTAAAGAGCTGCATTTTCAGCCAGTGTAACTAGTTAGGCCAGTTGCAGGAAGAACTGCCCATTTGTCTTGGTAGGGGAGGTTCCATTTCATGTTTCCCCACAGCTGGCCAGGACTAAGAGGCCACTCTAAGATCAGTTAGGACCATATCTGACAGTTAACTCATGTATTTTCACAGAAACTTTCTCATCCTGCCTGGTCTCTGTAGACCAAGCTGGTTTCTCCAGTGCCTGGAAGCGATGCCTGCTCTGCTTTGCTTCTTAGCTGATGATGTGGATACTATCTGGAATCAGGAAAAATCAAAATCTTTCACTCTGGGGCTTGGCAAATACAATGTGTTTTCCAGTATTTCCAGTGGTGCTTTTTACATTGAAGCCATAAATTCTTTGAGGCAAAGCTTCATGCCTCATCGTCCTAGAAATACAGCTCGGATTATATCCATCCACAGCTAAAAACCTTCATTAACACTGAATTTACAGCAGAATAATTTCCAGACTCCCCGTGTTAGTACAAAGTAATGGTTCTCAAAACTTTACTTTGCACCAGAATGACCTAGAGGGATTGCTAAAACAGATTGCTGGCCCCACCCCTGAGTTTCAGATTCAGTAGGCCTGGGTGGGGGCCCAGGAACTTGCATTTCTAACCAGTTCCCAGATGATACTGATGCTGCTGGTCCACAGAACATACTCTGAGGACCACTGCATTCCATCCATCCACCTAGCTATGGGTTACACTCCTAACACCCAGCTACACCACATACATTCAAAGATAACCCTTTATTCCTTGTTCATATTGTATGTTTTCCTACTCTGTGCCTTTGTTTTTTTTCACTCATTTATTTACACACTGTCTTAGTCCACTCAGGCTACTATAACAAAACACCACACCTGGGCGGCTTAAACAACAGACATTTATTTTTCATAGTTCTGGAGGCTGGGAAGTCCAAGATCAAGGTACCAGTAGATTCAGTTCTTGGTGAGGGCCCTCTTCTTGGCTTGCAGATGGCTGCCTTCTCACTGTATCATCACATGGTGGAGAGAGAAAGTGCTGGTGTCTCCTCCTCTTCTAAGGGCACTAATTCCATCATGGGGCTCTGCCCTCAAGACCTCATTAAACCTAATTACCTCCCAAAGGTCCCACCTCCCAAAGACCCCACCTCTTAGGAGGTGGGATTTCAGCATATGAATTTTGGGGGGACACAGACATGACATAACATCCATAATATTCATGGATTCCTTCACTCAATCAATGCTTCATTGTTTTATCAAAACTTCCCCCTTCTTTATTGACACATAATTGGCAAATAAAAATTGTAAAGACTTAAGGTTTATAGTGTGATTTTTTTTTTTTTTTTTATACTTCATGAAACATTTTTTTTAAAGACCAACACAACTGACCCTGTCAAATGCTCTCATGGAGTTTATGGTACAAGGGAAGAGAGAAAAAATTTACCCTTTTCATTCACAGAATGCTTCAGGGTTTCCAAAGAGATCTCATATGCAAGCTCCCCTTTGATCTTCTCCAGACTCCTGAAAGACCAATGGGGCAGAGATTATTTTACACATTTCACAGATAAAGAAATTGAAGGCCAGGAAGTAGTTCAACCGAGGTATTGCCAACCCAGGTCTTCCCAGTCCCAGGTTACTGTTTTTTCCACCCAATCATGCTACTTCAAGTAGTCTTGGTTCACTGTATCCCCTCTCTCACTGCTGCCCAAATTGTACCTCTTCTTTAAAGCCTAATTGGTCACTATCTCCTCCATGAAGCCTTCCATGATAACCCTAGTTAAAATAATTTCTCCTTCTAATAAACGAAGACAATACTTTGTCTTTCTACTGATATTAAATATATATATATATGTTTTATATATATACAAAATATATATATATAGGTTTTATATCCTTTTTAGATCCCAAACTCCATGAGAATAGGATCACTCTCCTTTTTGTCTCCCACAGCACTCAGCTCTCAGCTTATAGCTCTAAGAAATGAAAAAAGAATGAAGGTTGGAAAGATGAAAATTCCACCTATTTTCTGAGTCAACAGTTCTATTCATTAGATAATCAATGAAGAATAATATATTTGAAGATGAAAGCAGAGTTCTCTGTTATCTCTTTATTTTCTATCTCCATAAATAGGGGTAGGGAGGACTAGCACTCATGAAGTGATTGCTGGGTGTCAGGTGTTTTCCTGTTCTAACATTTTGCCTTCATAGCCTAACAGATAAATACTATTGCTCCTATTTTCAAGGGGAGATCCTGAAGCCCGGAATTGTTTAGAAATTTCAGCAAATTCAGACACTGATTACATGTTAGAGAGGGGACCATATCCAATTCCATTTAACCTCATGTGGCAATACAAACACATGAAATCACCTCCAGTTATACTATGGCAATAATGAATTGTCCAGCATTTATCTACATAAGAAATTAATTCATTGTATAGTAATAATCTTGAGGTCATCCTTTAGTAACATAATCTCTCACCTTATTATTGACTTGTCATTGATTCACCATTTGCTGGTTGAGTCTTTTGATCCATTTCTGCAAAAGGGGAAAGGAATTTCACTATTACCATGTGACCAGTCATCACTGTGAAATGCTGGCCTGTGACTTAGACAGTGAATCTGTCTTAAGTGGTATTGTGCTCTAACAGAACATGCCTGTTAGGAGAGAGAGTGGGAAAGGTTTGTGGTAAATCCTGGTACAAAGTGGGGGTGGGGAAGACAAATCCAGAGATAGATCCAGTTCCATGAATAACCCCAAAAGGAACGATAACTTTAGCAACAATGTAAAGCTCAGACATTAAAGCAATTTGTTAGACATTTACCGTATCATAGAACTGAGAATTCTTAGAGAGTTTAACCAAAGGACATTGCCAATGAACATTGCAGGGCCTTGACAGAGACGGGTAGGAGACAGACAGCATTCAGGAAACAGCTAACTCACCTAGAGGTGTTCAGCCCTGGGTTCTGCAGCCAAAGTCTTACAAGAGCAGAGACCTGCAACATCCTGAAAACCAGACAGACACATCAAAGGTGATCGTTCTCACAAATGTATGAAATACCTATGTGCATCCTTTCCTCTAATAGGTACTGCAATATTCTACCTGACAAGCACCTGTTAATTTTTAATTGGCAAGTGTTATTGCAAGGTCTTATCACTTCATTAGCCATTAAGAGAGCCAACAGTAAATCTTGGCATCCAACAGATTTTTTGTTTGTTTGTTTACAATTGCAATGAAACTATTTTAAGGGAAGAGGAAATTCTATAAAAATCTTCTGAACTTTTTGGATCTGCCAGGTGGAAAAAAGTTTCAAAACACATTTTCAGGCCCCCTGGGGTGTTCAATTCAGAAAAATTAAGTTACAACAGATGTCCTATTTCATAAACAGCTTTCTACTGTTACTCAAACTGTCAGATCAGGGAGCTGGTAAAAAGTCATTCATCCAGAGAAGAGTAAAAATTGGGGAAATAGATAAATATTTTCTCTAGTTTACCGATGTTGATGTTAGTACAATATTGGCTTCAATGGGCAGTTTCAATCACTCTTGTCCTCAAGATAAAATAAAAAACATATCAGACATTTGATTAGCACTGCTTCTTGGAAAGAGTTCAGAAGTGCCCCCTCAGCCAATGGTTCTTGGTTCCTAGACAGCTCTGCATTGGGCAATTCAGAATAAGGACAAGGATCTATATATAGAAACAAAACTTGTCGCTAATGTGTGTGCCTATCAGAGGACTGGCAGGAGGGAACTGTCATTTTGTCTGGTCACTCGGGGTCTAAAACGATGAGGTTTCTTTGTAAAATAACAATACTAGATCATGCTTACATATTTAACGTTCAGACACTGTTCTAAATATATTTTAAGCATATTTAATCCTCACAATCACCCTATAAGTACTATAATTATCCTCATTTTACAGGATAAGCGTAGAAACTTAGAAACAAAAGTTCAACAACCTGCCCAAGGTCACACACCTAGGAAGTGGTGACCCAGGCAGTCTGGCTCCAGAGCCCGGGTTCTTACCCAATACACTCTCCTGCTTTTTTATGTATAGTTAGTGGTATTTTATATATGAAGCACAACGACTGAAATACATACATACATATAGACAGATAGATAGATGTGTGCATGTGTATGAAACACACATCATTAAAATTTTGAGAAAGTGAAAAACAGAAGAAGAGAAAAAGGAAGAAGTGCTACTAATGTCATATAATTGTCATTAGCCTTTGGGAATATTTGATTTCAATCATATTTATATGCATATTTTTTAATTTGCTGTAGTTCTACGATTTTGAGTTTTTTCTCTTCATATTGTATCAGAAGTATTTCCTATGTTGCTAAGTGTTCATGATGCTCATTTTTAATACCTGCATAATATTACATAGACTGGGTATATTACTTACTTGACAAGTCTCCAGTTGTTAGCTATTTAGGTTGTTTCCAACAGCCCAGGGCAGGTTCAAGGGCAGGCTATGGAGCCAGAAAGCCTGGTTCAAATGTTTCTCTACTCACTAGCTGCATAATCTTGAGCAAGCTACTTGACCTCTCAATGTTTCAGTTTTCTCATCTGTAAAATGAGGATGTTAGTAGTAACTACTTCCACCTACTTGGGTTTTTGGGAGGATTAACTGCATTAATTGAAGTAAAGCACTTAAAACATTGTCTGCACAGTTATTAGTATCATGAGCAAGTCTGTAGTAAACATCTTTATACATAAAAAAAATTCACACCAGAAACTTATTTCCTTAATAGATATTCCCAGACATAAGATTACTGGATCAAAAGATATGAATCTTTTTTGTCCTAATATCTGACTTACATTGCCAAAGCATTTCTAAAAAGTATTATATAGATTTATATGCCACCAGTTATGTAAGAAGAAACCACTTTCTAGTGTACTTTGCTGATTTTGCCTATTAACATTAAATCTTCTATTGGTTTGACTTCCAGTTCATCAATCTGTTCTTCAGCTGTTTCTAGTTTGCCCTTAAACCCATCCATTGAATTTTTAATTCAGGTCAGTTTATTTCTCAGTTCCAGAATTTCCATTTTATTTTTATCATAGTTACCAATAATATACCCAAATTCCTTATCTTCTCATCTAATTTTGTTAATTTATTAATCACAGATATTTTATTTTTTTTTAATTTTTTTTTTTTAAAGATTTTATTTATTTATTTGAGAGAGAGAGAGAATGAGAGAGAGCACGAGAGGGAAGAGGGCAGAGGGGGAAGCAGACGCCCCGCTGAGCAGGGAGCCCGATGCGGGACTCGATCCCGGGACTCCAGGATCATGACCTGAGCCGAAGGCAGTCGCTTAACTGACTGAGCCACCCAGGCGCCCTAATCACAGATATTTTAAAGTCTATTATCTAATCTACAGGTATGGCTAGTAATTTTATTGCCTGACCCTGTGTATGAAAAATTGTAGAGATAATTTGAGCCTCTGGGTGATCACATCTTTGTCAAGTGGGGTTTTACCTTAGCTTCTAACTACCTGTTAGAACTACCTCTTTTGGATTCCCTGCTCTCTGGGTTCTCCGCTTCTCAAATCCTCTCTCTGCCCTGAATCTCTGTGATGCTTTTAAGCAAACATTTGCTAGATTTTACCCAGGTTTTCCACTTTCTCTCAGAGGATAAGTTGATCCAAATGAAAATAATCCATAACAGCTGGGAATGTAAATCCTTGACATTAATTTTAAAATAACTGATTAAACCTAAATACAGCTTATTTTCGTTTTAGTGTATAACCAATTGATTATTAGTAAGGCTGAATGTTTTTATTTGTTTGCAAATGTGTTATATTTCATCTTTTGTGAAATGTGATTTTAGTCTTATCTCATATATTGCCTAGATTCTCTTCTATTCTTATCTCTTGTATTAGTTCTTAGCTGTGGAGTTTGTATAAGCTTCTGTTAATAATATGATTATTGACCCTTTCGTTATGTTCAAATAATGGTACCTTGCCTGGTGTTTGTTTTTTTTTATTGCTGTCTTAATATAACCAAATCTATTTTATCTTTACTTTTGCAATTTGTTACACTATTCTAAGCCTATAAAAACAAATCCCTTTAGACTTCCTACAGTTTAAGTTTTGCTATTTTATTTTTTTTGCTATTTTTATTATAGGTGTATCATGAGTATATGAATTGATTTTTTCCAGTTTATCAGTCCATATATTGTAAAATATTTTCCCTTCCCATTGATTTGTGTTCTGATATTATCAAATATTCCTTTATTATATAAAATATGATTTATTTTGACCACATATTTTGCCTCATTAATTTATTTTGGTGCCAGTATCACATGGTTTTAATTATTATAACTTTATATTTTAATATTTGATAAGACTAGTCTGTCCTCATTACTTTTCTTTCTTAGAATTGATTTTTACTATTCTTGCCTACTTTCTTTTCCAGATTTATGTCAAAATCAAGTTCCTCTCACCGTTACTTTAAAATGTAAAAAACAAAAGAGACATTATTATTAGATTTCCCATTAAGTCTATACTTTGGAAAGAATTAACAATATTTATCTATCTATCTACTTATTTATTTATTTTAGAGAGGAGTTGTAGGGGCAGAGGGAGAGGGAATCTCAAGCAGACTCCCCACTGAGTGCAAAGCCTGACTCAGGGCTCGATCTCACGACCGTGAGATCATGACCTGATCATGACCTGAGCTGAAACCAAGAGTGAGAAATTTAACTTCTAAGTGCCGCCCAGGAGCCCCAAGAATTTTAAAATGTTATTTTTTTACACCAGAAACCAATCTTTTGATTAATTTAATATTTTTATAGCTCTCAAAAAGTTTCATTTAGATAGGTAACATATTTCTGTTTAAACTCAGAGTTTTATACATTTTGTTGCTCTTGTAAAATAAGTATCTCTTAGAGGTTTATGTTTAAGCTAATCGTTGCTAATATGTAGAAATACTACTGATTTATGTTAATAGTCATATGTCTGCCAATATTCTACTAATTTATTAAGTCTATTCACATTTTTGTTCACTTATTTGGGTTTTCAAGCTACAAAAATATTTTTCCACTCATAATGATAATGTATATTTTTTCACTCTTTATAGGTCTTCTTTATTATTTTTTTAAAAAAGATTTTATTTATTTATTTGAGAGAGAGAGAGAGCACGAGCAGGGCAGGGAGGGCAGAGGGAGAGGGAAAGGCAGACTCCTCGCTGGGCAAGGAGCCCAACTCAGGGCTCAATCCGGGGACACCAGGACCATGACCTGAGCTGAAGGCAGATGTTTTACTAACTGAGCCACCCAGGTGCCCCAAGGTCTTCTTTCTTTAGTATGTTTTATTATATTGATAAGGGCTTTAAAAATAATGTTTAATAACATTATTATGACAGAACCATTAGACCAACTTCTACCCCATGCCTGTTTTTAAACATGTATATTTCTAGTATTTTATGTTAATTTTAATATTGACTATTAGTTAAAAATATTTATTATCATACTAAAAAATAGTTTATTTTTTCTTCTTATCATTTTATCAGGAACAAGTATTAAATTTTATCTAATGCTTTACAAAACAACCTATGAAAATAATCATTTACTTCTTATTTAATTTACCAATATGAAATATTTCATTAGTTTCTAATTTTGTAAACTTTTGCACTGCTTGGGTATACATTATTTTCATTATTTTGCTATGATGAGCTTTACTGTGTTTTTAAAAAGCATGTTGAGTTATTTTAGGTTTAAGCTTATTTAATGCATTATTTTTCAGTGCCATATTCCTTTACTAATATTACATTAACAATAATTATAAAATAGTCCTTTTTGTCTTATTTACTGTTTTTTGAAAAAAATCTGCTTGTGACCATGTTAGGCTACAAAATCTTTGCCCTTTTAAAAAGTATTTCCATGTCATTTTTCTTTAAGTATGAATCTTTTAAGCACTACCAAATCATAAGACTTTCATTTTATTTTAATGTGAAGATCTTTCCATTTGAATAGAGAAATTTAAGACATTTATACTTGT